CATTTTCTTCCCAAGTTAAAGTATTTATGTCAATTAAGTGATATTTTTAAGGTCAAACTACAAACCTCATCTCAAAAAATGGGTAATGATGAATACGAGGGCCTCCATAGGTAAGAGTTTTTGTCAAACTGCCTCAACATTGAAAAAGAAATAGAAAACTAAATTATTCAAGATTCCTCAACACAATATTCTCTATTAAAGTAAACAGTAACCATATTTCCTATGTCTTAAAATAAAACAAATTTCATCTCAACCAATAAAAAGTCTTCTATTTAAAAGATTGCTATAAGAGAGTGAATAAGTTGTCATTTGATTTATTTGTTTGTTTTGATGCTTACTTTGGCTTTCTCTCAAGACATTTCTTTCTCTTAAGTCCATTATAGATTCCAAAACTCAGAGATGCCATCATTAAACATCTCCTAGGAAGTGAACAGTCTAATTAGTACGTTAACTCGGGCATAAACCAACCATGACCACACTGTCTGGATGGTACCAGTCTGGGAAAGAATATTCAGGATACATGTTCACAGCACATCATGATTACAGTGTCGTGGGGAGTCAGTACGTGTACATGACACAGTTGAACACTTCACTTATAAAAATCCACCTCCAGAAAGCTCAGAGGATAAGGCATAAGTCTGAGAGGGTTTTATAGTTAAAGCCAACAAGTAGAGCTCACAGTTTTCTACCTAATACAACTCATGTTTTGTGGAGAAAAGAAATGACTGACATCCTGATGTACTTTTTACCAAGCTAGTTTCCTGGTTAGTCATCTGCTTTAAAACAAAATGATAACTTCAGCTGGCCACAAAGGTAAGACGATTTTTCCCACAACCTATACTGAACTGTCCAGAATAAAAGGCATTAGCCACATAGGACCATTCAAATATGTTACATGTGCCTATGGTTACCCAAGAATTTAATCATTAGATTTAGTAATTTTATTATTGATTGATTGATTGATTTGAGACAGGATCTCACTATGTTTCTCAGGCTGCATTCAAATTCCTTGGCGGAAACAATCCTTCCACCTCAACCTCCAGTTGGGACTACCTGGCATTCACTTGTGCTACATATAAGAGCACGTCTGCAGCACCGTAGTCACTGTGTATGAATCTGCTGTCTTAGCCTGACGTGGTGGCACACGCCTGTAATCCCAGCACTCGGGAAGCTGAGGCAGGAGGATCCTTGCAAGTTCAAGGCCAGCCTGGGCTACAAAGTGAGCTCAAGACCAGGGTGAACTGCAAAGTGAGACCCTGTATCAAAAAAGACCCAAAAAAAAAATCTGCTGTTTCACTTGTAAATCTTATGAGATTAAAAATAAAGATCTAGGGGCTGGGGATTTAGCTCAGCGGCAAAGCGCCTGCCTGGCAAGCGCAAGGTCGTGAGTTCGGTTCCTGGTACCGGAGAAAAACCAAAAAAAAATAAATAAATAAATAAAAAATAAAAATAAAGATCTAATATCCTTTTAAGAATTTAGTGATCGAATTGTTATATGCATAAGAATAAAAACACATAGTGTATTCCAAGTAATTAATAGAAAAAAAGACAATTTTTAAATAAAAAATAATCTCATTAATTTTTAAATAATGACTATACGTCAAAATAATAATACTTTGGATATACTGGGTTAAATGCATTTTTAAGTGAATGTTTCCAGCTTCCTTTCACTTTATGACTTACATTATATGTCTAGGGAACAACAACGAGAAAGAGTAATATTAATTAATCCTCTGAGTGACTGAGATGAGCCAAGAAATAGTCTTTAAAAGTGTCCACTAAAGAGAAAAGCAGAAATCAGAAAAGACTGTATTTTTACATTCTGCTTTTGACACTGACCACCCAAACACTTCGGAAAGTCATACACCTTCCTTGGCCTATATTTCTTGATCTGTAAAATGAGAGTTGCTTCTTAGCTAAAGCAAAATGCTTATAAAATGCCCGGCATATTATAGGTTCATGTAGAGTTGAATGACTAATTGTTTGCAACACAATGCAAAGAGCTCAGGCAATTACTAAAAATTTACTGCTCCCTATATCTTGTCTCCTTGCAGATAAGGCATTTTGTGTGGACCCTTCCAGCCACAATACTAGGATAACTTTGTGCCACAGTGCACTTTCCAGGTGAATGGCGGCAACCTTTATACTTAAATGCTATTATCAAAATCTCCAGAAAATAGATAGATGTACTATTTCCATTTGTGCCTTTAAATGATGAACTGTGAGAAATATCATCATGATTTCTATGAACCTAAAATTTCCGTGGAACTAAATGAAACTTACCATATCAGAATATTTACGTCCTCTCCAGGACTTCTATATTTCTGTCATGGTCAAACTGAGTGTTTGATAAGCACTAACATACACTTGTCTAAGACATTAAGTTAACACTTTATAGTTATGAAAGATGTAAAACATGGGGTCGAGCAATATTTATTTTAAAATTAACTTATCTCACTGTTGCACTGTACTTTTTCCAATTTGAAAAGTGCCTGGAAATTCTTATTCTATGAAACCATACCACAGTTATAAGATTAGAAATGTAATCCCAGAACAAATAGATACCCCTTCATAAAGTAAATTGTAAAACTACAGTTCCTCTTCTTTGCACTAAAAAGAATATATTGGTTGAAATATCAATTTTAAAGTGGTTTAGATGAGGCAATGACTGGAAAACTCAGATGGGTAACTCCTGGGTACAAGGTGCAAGTGTGAAAGTCATAACTCATCTTTCAGCATGATGTCAAGAAGGAGCGTTGCTCTTCTTCATAAGAATTCTCATAAATGTTGGCTCCTGACCAGATGGCTTAATGTTCACCTCACGTGATTAGTTTTATGCTTCCTTGAAAAGTACCTCAATGCCCTCTCTTTTTATGAGTTTGCTGTCATTTTTGCTGCAGTCCTTTCATCAGTCACTTTCTTCACTCACTTCATTAATATTCATGGAGGCCCATGTGCTGGCAGTTCCTGGGCCACCCCAGCTTGTCATACCATCTAAATAAAACCAGTAACGTGGGGTGGAAGTAGAGAGCTACAAAATATTTTGTAATGTTTTAAAAATGTGTTGGGCTGTGTGCGCGAATGGATATATCATGGATTTGTGTGTAATCTTCATCTTATCTGACTTGTAACCAAAGAAAAATTGAAGTTAAATTATGCAAGATACAAGCTCACAAAAGTTAACTGGTTCCTTTCCAACTAATTAGTCTTCTTACAAATAAATTTTTATTTTAGTTTACACTGTGCTGCCGAGCTAAAATCCAAAGTTCATCTACAGCTTTCCAAGTTATTGCAATAATATCCCAATTCTTAGATTTTACATTAACACAAATACCTGCTGATGCAGAACAAATTTCACCTATCCAGAATTTTTGTAATTCTCAAAGGTCTTCTTCAAGTGGTTCACCAAGTCAGATAAGAAGTCAGATAAATCTCCCGCTGGAAAAAGGCCTCTTCATTAATTCACACCCAACGGCAAATTTCCAGGAAATAAAATAAGAATGACAGGCTAGCAGACCTACTAAGTTTATCAGAAAAAGACTCATTGTTTTGAATTGTAACTGTCTGCTCACTAAATTATATGCAAACAGAGGGGAAGGGGAAGGTTTTACTCTCTGTGCCTATTAGGCAAGCACAGATTTTAAGCCCAGCAGGCACCTACCCTGCACTCCCAGCACTCTGAAAAGATAAGGCAGGCGGGTTTGAGCCCAGCCTGAAGCCTGAACATACCGGGAAGAATTTGTCTCAAAATTTTAAAAAGGAGGAAAGAAAAATGGAGGTTGGGGATGTGGCTTAGTGTAAGGCTTTGAGTTCAATCCCCAGAAGCAAAAAAAAATGTGCAGACTTCATAACAGTTTCTGGATGGCTGAACAGAGATTACAGGATGACAGGATGCTTACATTTTATAATTTCCAATAAAATGAATTTGTTTTTGAGACTACGAGGTCTCATCCTACTAACTAAAAACACAGGTATGAAACATTTAAAAATTAGTGTAACCCACTGATTATGAAAAATGGCATTTTTTGTAAAAAAAAAAAATCAATTAATATTAACTCAGGTGCAACTTACTGCAGGCTTACCACCTCCCATCACAACCTGGGGTGCCAAAGCTTAAAGGTAAATAAATTCTGTACATGAAAAAAAAATGAGAGAACCAGATCCATTAAAGTTATCTGAAGTAATTCTAAAACTATGGAAAACAAAACAATACTACTCATCTTTAAAATGTGTTCTCTCCCTCCATGAGAAAGAATGACAAATCTGCTTGCTCAGGTGCCCTAAGATTCTGCAATATATTGTGGATCTTTTGCTTGTTCTTTAGAAAATGCAATCCCTTACACAACGTAAAATGTCATCAGTGATGCTGTTTTTTGTTAAGGGATCAAATAGGAAATGACAAAAAAGGATGAGCCAGAAAGAGAACAGAGAAAAGAAAAACATCCATATGAAGTAAATCAGAGCCTAGTTTGGACAGCATCACTCTCCTATCAGACCAAAACACTTAGAACCATAATTAGCTGCAAAGCTAAGGTAAGCAACCGAGAACTACCCAGAGATGACCAATCCCATTAGACATGCACTCCATGAGATCCAAAAATACAGTGTGGAAATCCTCTGGATGAGCTGATGGAAAGGTTGAAAGCCATGATCAGTGAAAACTAAGAACCCTCAAAGGTTGATCTTCCAGAGGAAGCAAAGCCTCCAGGGCATGTCAGAGTTTGTGAAAAGGAACTTTCTCAGGCACTACTAGCCTGGTCTGGCAGGTTCATTCATTCCACTTTAGCTGATGTTACCTTTAGTTCTTTACCAAAAAAAGTCAATTTTTCTTACCTAGACAAGTGTGAATGATAAATCAAGAAAACTTGACCACGTTAGATATCAACAAAAGTTTGTAAAGTGTACAGCAAACGTTTCTTTGATGAACAGAACTGACCAACCCTTGGGACAATGTCTGCTACACTAAACCCCTTCCCACAGGTCACCCAAGTTCTACTTACGCCCAACATCTGGTGGAGGTAGTGATACTCTGGCCCTTGATTGTACAGCAGGAAGGTTTTCCAAAAAAGTAGGGCATTCAGGGAGAGCCAAATGAGCTAAAACAATCAAAGGGATGGAGGAAACAGGCATTAAAAATAAACACCACCGGATGAGTGAGGCCACATTCTCTGAACATAGTACTTTGAATGCGAGAGCAGCAAGTGATTGCAGGAAGCACTCTCAATTTAGCAGAGAGCTAGAAAACCACTCCGAGGAAAAGCTGGCCCTGACCCGTCCCTGGGACCTAAGAACAAGCATTTGGGTGACAAGTGGCCTTCCCGCCCATCTCCCAACCAGGACGATCTGCAGGTATCCCCTAAGTATAAAATAAAACTTCAGTCAGTGACAGCACTGTGTCCTAAGCAAACAGCGCCAATCTGGGAACAAGAGCAAAGGGGGGCATGTCTAAGGGGTTAAGGACCGTGCCCCCGCAAGCAGCGCCCCCTGCGCGCAGGGCCGGGGGCGGGTGTCAGCGCTATCTCTGGGCTTTAGCGGCAGAAACTTTGTTAGTTGAGCAGGTTCGAGTTAGAGACAGAACTCCGCGCGCTCAGAAGACGCAGCCCGCGGCCCTACCAGGCAGAGGTGCTTCGCGCCCTCGTTGGCCAGCCAGCTCCTCCGGGACACGGCCATGCCGCGCTGCGCGCCGCGCGGGGACGCGGCGGGGCCTGCGGGGCGAGGGCGGGTC